TTTTCTTGCAACCCTCCCATACAAGCCACATTTGTGGAGAATTTGTGATATTGTTGTCACATGCACACAATGACCGCTCTTTGTCATAAATTCCTGCAACTGTTTCAGAGTTGCTGTAGGCCTCTTGGTTGCCTCTCTGACCAGTTTCCTCCTGCTCTTTCATCCAGTTTGGAGCGACTTCCTGATCCAGGGAGGGTCGGTGTTGTACCAAATACATTCCACTTCTTAATAATTTACTTCATGTGCTTCTAGGCATTGATAAGGCCTTTGCATTTTTTTTGTATCCATCTCCTGACTTGTGTCTGTCCACAACTTCTGGGAGATCTTTTGACTGTGCCTTGCCACCCATAGTTGATTGTTTGCTTCAGCTGCACTACCAAGGACTGAAATGCTCCAGCAAAACTCTTTTCATGCTGAACTAATCAAAATGACCACATCTGATCACAGTTGAAAGTCAAATGGCTTTGTGTGCCACTGAGAAGGTGATTAGGTGACTTGTGATTGAGTCAAGTCATTTTTAGTAGGGGGTGATCCTCCAACTTAGTGAATGTTTTTTTTTTTTTTTTGAAAAAAAAAAATCTGACATGTTGGTGTTATATCTTTCACTTGGATGTTATTAGTTGCACTGAGTAAATACAGCTGGATAAAACAAAAACTGTGTCGGTCTTCATTTCAGGCTGCAAAGCAATAAAGTGTGGTTATTTTAAAGGTGGTGATTCTTTTCTATACCCACTATGTCCGTATGCAAAAGGTCAAACACTGAAAAATAAATAAATAAATTTGTAAACACTGCTAAATGTAAAAAATTTCAAATTGAAATTGAATTTGTATAAAAAAATGGTATTTGTAGAAACTGTATTAAATGTAAAAACTTCAAACGTCTCCAACTCTAAACAGTTCAAACGTAAAAAAAAAAAAAAAAAAATCAAATGCCACTTGAATTTGTAAACACTGCTTAAAAGTTAAACCTTCAAATGTCAGTAGCTGTGAACAGATAAAATGTAAAAATTCAAATGCCACTGGAAATTATAAGTACTGCTTAAATGTTAAAGCATCAAACACCACTATGTCAACACAGTTAAAACAATGAAAATGCCACTGGAATTTGTAAACACTGCTCAAATGTAAAAATTCTAATGCCACCATCTGTAAACACTGTTAAAAATGTGAGCAATTCAAATGTTACTGGAATTTGTAAACATGACAAATTAAATGTGTTAACATTGCTTGTATTTAAATTTGCAAACATCTTAGAATTACAATTCTTAGAGCGCAAAAAAAAAAAACTTGTAAAGCACAGGTTTATAAGAGGGAGAAGAAAATAAAAAGAGTAATAAAAAGGCAAGCATACAGGTTCATCTTTCTTTTGTCTCCAGCTGTATTTCTTATTAGGGTTGAGCTCTCGGGGGAGGCGAATGATAACCTGAGGTTGACACTCAATGGCCTCCAGGAGGACCTGCCTGCCAGCTTCCAACAGACTCTCCAGTCCACAGAGCATTACAGCTGCACACACAAACACACGATCGATACCAACATTAATTACCTCTAGGGAGCACGCGGCTACCCCACATTCTCCAATACATCAGTCTATGGGTGTTTCTTGTGTCAGACTGCATTAATGGATTTGACATCCAGATACATCTAAAAGATCAGATAGCTGCATTTACTTATTCTTTAAACAAATGTTTTACTCAAAAAAAAAAAAAAAAAACCTTGAAGACCGAGCAACTTGGCACACTGTTCAACACTCCAGTCAATTCTGAATATATTCACTAGAGCTGAAACAATTCCTGAGCTTGTTTCAGCACATTTTACTTTACAGCTCACTACAGCAAGCAAATCTCTCTCCCCAATCACCCCGCTTCCCTGAGAACTGTTGGAGCACACTAGATCAAGTCCCACATCCTTCAGATTTCCCTTCTCTCTCTGAAATGAGACTCACCTTGTGTGTCATCTATGGGCTGCCTCTGCATCTCCAGCTCTGCCATTTGGCTGAGCAGGGCCATGCCTTCCAGAGCAGTGGACTCCAGGGGACTGACAACCGCGCAGAGCTCAGACCTAGAGCCACATGCATCTGCCAGGATGGACACTGCTCCGGCCTGCGGAAGCTCACTGGCTGTGACCAGGGCGAACATGCCTGCCATGGGGTCTTCAGGCAGGATGGCCACCGGTGCGGAAGAGGGCTGAAGGTAAGGAGGGCTGCTGTTAGGCAGGAAAGGATTGTCAAGTTTGGACTCTAGGTGTGGAGCGTCCGAGACAGGATCTCTGAGGTCTACTGGGTTCAGGCTATCAGAGAGATCTGAGGGCGGTTTTGCTGGTTGGATGTCACAAACTACATGGTGTGTGTCACTGTAATTAGATGATGATTTGTAGACTTGGTCTACCAGACCCATTAAGCCCTCTGCAGTTTCTACTCTGGTGGTTCTCTCAGAGTCCGGCCTAAATGTTTCGTACAGCCCTGGATGGCTTGAGGTGGCAGCTTTGATTTTGACAGCCTCCCCATCTTCCTCATCTGATTCCTCCTCTGGCGATGGTGTGGCTGTGTGTCTAGGGTGTGCCTCTGCCTCTGTGGGGGTGCTAGAGTCTTGAGTGGTGATGGGTGCACGCCTCAGGCTGTCCTGGCTCAGGACCTCTTTGCTGTCTTCCAGGTTTGGCTCTTTTTTGAACACCTCTTCCATGGACTCTGGCCCTCTGGATGGCTGAAGTGGCTCGACAACCACTGGAGAACACAAGTGCTGGGGTTTGACATCTGTGGCGGTTACCAAGTGCTCGGAGGTCTCAGCCGGCAACGGCACATCTGGAGCCAGGCCGTCAGCATCTGCAGCAGCAGCCGGCTGGAGGAGGTAGGGGTAATGGCTGCCGAAAGGTGCTGTTATCGATTGATACGGGTAGCCGGGAGGAATTTCTGCCAAAGAAACGGAAGAGACAGGTTTTTGAGGTGCTTATGCAAGGAGTAGAAGGGCTTTAGTTCCTTGCGACAGAGTGACAAAGTTATTAATAACCCCACATGTTCTCCGGCACAGGGGCTTTATGAAACTTTCATGAACCAAATGGCCTCAGCACAAGCATTCCAAAAGCCCTTTTATACACATAGGCCAACACATTCGTGCATACTCATACATTCAGAATTCACCGTGAGCAGAAAATCTATTTATTCTAAGCATTGAACATTTTTAAAGGGAAACAGCCAGGGGATATGGGTACAAAAGGGCTGCTGTCATAAGAAGTCTCTATTCCAGTGAAGTGGCAGCTGGTAATCCCATATGTGGGGATATTTGCAGGCTACTCATTAAGACTGCACTACCCTGCACATTCTGACATGAAGAATAGCAAACTGCATTTGACTGCTGTCCTGTGTGGATTCTCGGTCCCCTCCCAAACATATTTCTTTAAAAACAGCACTATGGTGATTAATGACCATGCATTATTAAACGGCTTTCCTTTCAGTTTTTGATTAGTGTTCCTCTCATTTACTATGCAATATGCAAATAAACAATTATTTCATAAGACCATGCAAATCTACAGTTGTGGCGACTGTGACAACTTAATCAGACTCAAACCTGGACATTTAATTTGGGAATGCTGATCTTCTCACTTACCACGGTACATGGATGGGAAGGGAGTAGAAGGTTGCTTCTGTAGACTGAGTGGTTCTTTCTCAGGCACTTCCACAGATTCCTCTTTGGTCTGGATGGGGGAGGTAGGAGGGGGTGATACCAATGCAGGGCTGACTGAGTGAGGGACAGGAGACGACGGATGGGAGTAGGGCTGTTGAGGGAAGGACTTCTCCACTTTGGGTCTCTCCTCAGACTTCAGTGCAGTGACGGGTGAAGGCAGCGGCGGGACAGCCAGCGGCGTCAGGGCTTTGCTGTACGAGGTGGAGGGGGTAGGGGAGCGTGGGGGAGGCTTGCGTGAGTGCAGGGCTGGAGTGGGGATGCCTGAGAGACTGGATTTGGCCCCTTCGGCTCCTCTCTTGTCTGGCTTTCCCTCCAAATCTGTCCTTGTTTGATTTGCATTTAATCTCTCCTGCGCCATCAAAAAAAATAATAAATTGAAACTTTAATACTTAATTACAAGCCTATTCAAAAATACAAAAAGTTAAAAAAGTAATAATGTAAAAAAAAAAATTTAAAAATTAAAAAGTATAAAATACTTGCAAATTTATAAAAGCAATAATAATAGTAAAAAAACAAAACTCTGAATTTTTCTCACAAAAACCAAAAACCACAGTACAATATTTCAGACTTGATACAAAGACTTCATATAGGCATTTGGTTTTAGGCCTGTTTTCCATGCTGAACATTCAGAGTTGGTGCAAACAGACCTGAAGGACTAAATAGGAAATACAGGAGTGCCTCCCAACGATTATAATGACACTGACAAGACAAAGAGTCTCATACCACTAACTGTGCATTCCTTTGCAGCTCCATGACCTGTGCGGTCTGGTGCTGGATCATGTAGAGCTCCTGTTGGCGGAGGAGCTGTTGGTGGGAGAGGAGCTGGAGCTGATGGGCATGCTGCAGAGAGCTTCCTGCTGGCGGGTACATGGCCGACCACAGCGGGGGACCTCGCTCTAACATCTCAGCTTTTAAAAGAACAGGAGGAATGCTTGAGCATCACGCATCAAGTAGATTTATTCTGCTACATGTCAGGGATATCACTCCCACTCACTCTTAGAAATTAACTTTTTATGCGTGTGTGAGAATGGAGAGACTGAGAAAATATGAACACAGAAACAGTGGCGAATACATGGGACATACCGTAGTGTGGCAGATGCTCTGTCGGAATAACGACCACCTGCCCGGTTTGAGGATCTCGGGCAAACTGGTAAGGTGGTGGGATGGAGCCTGTCAAGGCAGGAGGATATCCTGGAGGCAGCGCCTGATGAAGGGAAGGGGGACCCAGACCTGTACACAACAGAGGGGAAAAATGGTTGGGTTCACCGTACTTGTAGTTGACGGTCCATTTGCACTTGCTTTCTAGCAGCTTCGTGAACACACAAGAGTTAATTCCCAAGAGAATCACCATTCCCACCATAATCTCACCCTTGTGCGTGGAGAACTGACCTTGTTGAAATCCTGCCAAGAGGCACAGCACTTTAACTACAGCAATTTACTTAGGGGACATTTTTGTTTTTAAAGTAAAGTCTAGACAGAAACTCAAACGTCAGACAACTGTGAACTGACCATGCTGTTCACTGTTATTCTTGGATGGAAGTTGTGGAGCGAGACTGATTGTTTCTAAGAATGTCTAAAACACTCAGCCTAGACAAAACGCTCAGGCCGTCTGGCAGGGCAACAGACCGCCTCAAGGAAATAATTCAGCGTCCAAATCCCATTCACAACACAGTTCTGCAGCATTCCAAATTCCATGACCCATAATCATTTATTACTCAAAGGGATAGTTCACCCAAAAATGAAAATTAGCCCATGATTTACTGCACGGCTTGTGTTGTCAAAAGTACCGATGTCAGTACTGAAATTAAAAAAATGTGACGATACCAGCATTCCCGCTAGCATTTTGAGTGCTGTTGTGCGGATTCTGATTGGCCATTGTGTTTACGCGCTCAACAGATATGTCTGTGATTGGCTACAGTGATCATTGCTTCACGCTCTTCACCGAGCGCTTACACACGGGAGCGTTTGAAAGCCATGTCTATCAGTGGATTCCTAATATATCTGCTCATAGACGGATCTGCTGATAGACACGGCTTTCAAACGCTCCCGTGTGTATCTGTAAGCGCTCGGTGAAGAGCGTGAAGCGATGATCACTGTAGCCAATCACAGATATATCTGTTGAGCACGAGAACACAATGGCCAACCAGAGGCATTTTTTAAGAATCCGCTCAATGTTAGCATAAATGTAATGCTGGTATCTTCCCATTTTTAACATTTCAGTACTGACTGGCACCGGCATCGGTACTTTTGACAACACTACACACGGCAATTGCTTGTAACATGACATAATTCTTATACGACAGGCATAGGCGAAAAAAGGCAGGTACCATATGGAGAACCAGACAGCCACATGGAGGGGGCTCCTGGCCGGGGCAGCCATGTGTGGGAGGCCAGGTGGGAGGCGGGGTCAGCAGGCCAGCGGCCAGCACCAGCCAGAGTGGGTCCACCAGTTACCATCAGGTTGGGGTTCAGTCCACTAGCAGACACCATAGGTGGATGTAACTGGGTGTAGTCTGCCAACTCCTTATTCTCTCTGTGAATTACAAGAGACTTAACTTATTAGAGGTTGACCTGTCAATTGTAAAGTCAGCTAGTATTTACGTTTCCTAATTGCAAATTAAAGTCTACATTTTAAAAAAAGCCTCTGTAGTATAAAAAAAAGAAAAGGAAAACATGCACCTGTTGTGCAAATATACGTCCTTTGCCGTGTATCCTTAAGTACATTTAGGGTAAGAAATATGCCAAAAAGCAGTTTTCTAATTTACTTTTGATTATTTATTATTATTTTTAAATATTATCAAATATTTTTTAAAGATGCAAGAGTCTTGATGTCATGGCCTACCTGAATGAAGTAGTCACTTAATTTCTTAGAATTTATTACACCTAACAGACTAAATAAAAAAATCACAAAATAATTTCCATATTTTGTGTTTAGTTTTTTGGTCAAGAATGTTGTTTCGTGCTTTACTACATATTTTCAACAAAAATGAAAAGACTGTTGCTATATTTGCTAGAATCTGAATTCTAAAAACAACCCAGAAAAAACACTGTAAACACGGTTTACTCTTCTAAACATCAACGACTTTCAGTTTGATAGAACATAAAGTGAATTTGTGGAAAAAAATAAATAAAATAAAAAGTGCTTTTAAGGTGTTTTTCTTATCATTTGAATCTCGACAACCACTTTCATTATAGTGGGCAAGAAAACTCCTCAAAAATTCACCTTGTGTTTGATGGAAGAAATGCATCACACAGGATTGGAACAATATGAGGGCGAGTACGTCATTATCATCTTTGGCTGAACTATTCCTTTAAAAGTCTACTAAGTGCCCAATATCCAGGTGCCCACATTTGATAACCAGGAAAATGTATGTCATAGATGCTTTTACAATGCAAAATTCATGCTTATTAAAGCCCAACAGGAAGACTGGTGGCCATTTAGCCCTGACTGAGACACAAATTCCCCAGTCTATAACCAGTCTATAACGTCTATTCTGTCTTACACTTAAGGACAGACACTGAGGGTGGAATCCTGCTGAGAGAGCCAGTCACTTTTATAAGCACCAATTTCCCCAGTGGGGATGATTTTTTCTGCTCCTCGAAATGAGAGCCACACTTTGAAAATAGGCTCATATTTGCTGAGAACTGTTGCCATAAATCCATCCACTCTAAAGAAAACCACGCTGAGAGTGTGACCAATGAAAGTAAAATGTTGCTGTTTAACCAGTGTGTGGAATCAAAGCAGCAAGAATCCATTCGCACTGGCTGGATACGTTTAGTCCTTACTACAAGGTGAATTATTTTAATAAATTAATTAACAGACTTTCATCCAGGCTTCTAAATTCTTTTTAGAAAACATCTATTTGGCACATTTCAACACTTCAGTGTTGCTGCTAAATATCTGCTGAGATTATAAACTAGCTTCAACCAAGGCAGCAAAGAGAGTATCTTTAAAGATCCACACATTCAAGCTGTCACTGATTTACTGAAGTGACTTTAATGAGTCACCTTCACAGGACATCCATGCATTAGCTGCCCCTATCACCAGCTTCCACACAACATCAGGGCACCTCAAAAAAAAAAATCAATCCCTAGCTCTCTTTTTCAGCTCAATACTGTGCTTTTGGGAGAAAACTGTCCTGTTCCATTTTCAATCAAACCTCTGAACCAACACTGTTGACACCCTTTGTATAACACAAAGGACATAGGGAAATATACCATTTGGCATTAGAAAGTTAAAGTAGCAGAAAATACCCATACTTTAATGCTGGGACTCTAAAAAGTGCCCTCGGTAATTTTTGTTCATCTTGTGCTGGACTATACGGCAGGGGTCTTGCACTTACATTGACAGCTAGCAATGTGGACACCACAAACACCACTGAATGCCATGATGCATTTTAGTAAATGGCCAATCACGTGATCTCAAACATATGCTTGAGATGATGCATACATGTAAAATATAAAATGCTTTTATTATGATAAATATATGGCCTGAGTATGTATCCGAGTATGAGCATATTTCTAAACAAATTTTCAAAGATAGGTCTACTGCTCATTTCTTTGTAAAACTATTTTGAATGAGAATACAAAACACACACACAAACAATGAGAACAAATTTAATACACAATAATAATAGTTCTGATATATTTTCCTCCAACTGAGTGTCTGGCTTACCACAAAAATGACCAATGTCAATGTGATTTTAGCCCTCTTGTTTAAAGCATCATCAACAGCTGTCACCACACAGTTAAAATTTACAGCCAGTGAAACATAAACCTCTATAAATCTCCAACGTAAGAGTTTGAAAAGTTATCCTAAGAAATGACTTGTGACCTAAAACTGACATTTACAAAAATTTAAAAAAGGCAAGGTTAAGAGTTTTTCCAGATCTACTGAACTAATGCAACTAAAACTCCCAACGCAGGACTGAATTAACAGCTAGACCGATGCCTAGTACATTTCTGAGAGCTCACTTTAACATGCACTCAAAGTGCTCAAGGCGCTTTACGCCAGCGCTTATAAACTCTCATCTTACCTTAACACTTTCTCATGCTCGCGCTCCACACGTCCCGACAGCAGGCGCTCGTCGCCGTGATGCGTCCTCTCGTCTCCTTGCTCTTCCTCTGTGTGGATTGGGCCTGCAGGACATTACACCAATTAAAGACATTGACATCTGATCCAAAATACTTTTACTAAATTTGCTAACTGCGCAGTATTTGCCAATGATCTCATTTTTCCTCACTTATAGGGGTGCAACGGATCGTAGATGATCCGTGATCTGTACGGATCAGGCTTTACTGATAGATTAACTGTTAAGTTTAACCATCATAGAGTTAAAGTTTATCATTTGCACATGTTTTGTCTTGCCAGTTTACACATTCAAGCAGTTTTTACTCACGTACTGTTTTCTGTGAGCTCTGCCGCACACACACACACACACACATTGCACATGTTTTGTCTTGCCAGTTTACACATTCAAGCAGTTTTTAACTCACGTACTGTTTTCTGTGAGCTCTGCCGCACACACACACACACACACACACACACACACACACACACACACAGAGAGAGAGAGAGAGAGAGAGAG